GTCTCAAAAAATGTCAGTTACAAGGATGACTGACTAATAATGAAAAGTGAACAACTGATTCTGTTTCGCAACCCGTATTTCTTAGCAGAATATTGTTGTAATTATAATTTCAGATAGGCAAAGTTTAAGATCAGTTTGGTAAAGTGTTCATGATTTTTAGTTGTCTTGCTAAGTGTCAGCGTTGTTGAGCAATAGGTAGAAGTTTTCGACTTCAGCCTTGTTCCATGTGGGCACGAAAAACCTTATTGGACAACATTGTCCATCAGCTGACCAATGAAGTAAGTATCCAACTTATGACCTAGTGGATTTATTCTCTGAGGAAAAACTGTATTTAAATGACATGACTTTTGTCGAATAAAGTTGTCTTCCTCACAGTCACAGGCCTGTCTTTCTGCTGTGATTTTCGCCCCTCAGTGAATTATTGGGTCTGAGGGAGAATAGTCGCTGTTCGTATACAGTTCAAGTATCTAATTGCGTCAGTAGCATTCTCGAATATTATATTATTCTGTCATTTCTCATTTCCACTCTGTTAATTCACTAAGGAATCACATAATAAAGACAAAGCCCTTCTTTGCAAAAATAAAATTTTTTCAGAATTTTTGATCAGTATCCACCTACCTACTCCTTTCGTTTTGTAATATGCTTCATTTTAAATCTATTTTTGTTTCGACAAGGTTTTAATAGCTATCCAGATATGTTGTTGTTTACCACTAGATTTCGGCTGTTTACCTAATACCTACCTGACTACGAGTTCATTAAATGAGCTTCTCATTACTTTTGCTGTTGTTGTTATCAGGATATTAATTACTGGGAGTAAGGTTAGAAATCAATGTTTCCCATGCATGTAAAACAGATGAATGTCTTCTAGAAATCTACTTCTTTTCCTTTTTTGAACGTTACTTTTATTATTATACAGTGTTTACCACTTTTAAGATGATATGAGTAAGAGAAAAGCTCAGTCAACAGGTTGGTACACTGTTGCATCTCGTCATTCAAACACCTCAGCATAACGTTACATTTACACACACACACACATGCAGACATAAACAGCCACTGTCTTTCAGCTCTTTCTTGGTCTCCTACATCTTGTTACTTTTGATTCACTCAGGTGTGTAGAATATGGTTGTTGTTTTCCCACTCAACAGTCACCTAATTACACACATACAGATATATGACCGTTCCAAGTCAAGCAGAATTCAAATTAAGAATAATTTTTACTTTTCGGTATATATTTCTGAAAAGTATTAAAGGTGGTTTTCACCCAATTTTCGCAACTTCTTTATCGCTAGGGTTATTGAGACCTCACATCAACAAACGTAAACATTTATTCATTTTTTTACCCATATTTTTCACCACACACGCATGAAAGCATGATTTAAACAGTATGATCTGATTCCTTTTTTCATCCGTCTATGCTGATTATCATACTACAGAACAGAACAACTTGACAGTTTATAAAGAAACGCTATAGGTTAGAACATAAACGGAAACTATTTGAACTGAATTTGAAATGATAGAAACAAAAATTTCAATCATTCATTCATTTTTTAATTTTGAAAACTGACTAGATTTGTTTTACAAGCAAAATTTATAAATTAATGGTAATCTCAGGAGCTCGGTAAAATCAATCATATATATATATATATATATATATATATATATATATATATATATATATATATATATATATATTTGAAGGCGTATCCCAACCTTGAATTCTCATTCCACTCACTCGGAAACATCCACGTCAAGAGGAAATTTCTGAAAACTGCTTCATTCTATATCAGATTGTTTATTTAGTCTTGCACACAGAGAAACAATATTATTTACTAAATATTCACTGATGATATATAAATAATCTAAAGTGGAATTATACTCAACCACAGAATCCAACCTTTACTCTTATAAACTTGCTTCAGCTCATGTTTATCTCTCCGTAAACAATAGTGTTGAGTGTGCTTATATTCACTTCAGTAGTTTTTCCTAAAAAGCTTATTAAAAGTGAAAATTATAGCTATTCAATAAACTATTCACTGAGTTAAGAAGTAGGAGAGTAAAAACTCATTATTGTTATCATTGTTATTTTCCCCCAGGGTTCTTAGTGGAACATAGGACTTCAGCAGCACGTTGCCATTTCACTTTCTCCCCTGCAGTCTTTTCAACCTGGCTCCACGACTACCCAGAAGCTTTCATTTCTTCCTCACACTATCTCGTCCATATCACCCTCGCGTCAGACTCCCAACTCGTCGTTTCCCCTTTGGATTCTACTCGACGCCCTGCGGTGTGATGTCGTCAATCGGTCTTCTAAGTGTATGCCTGATCCAACCCACTTCCACCTACTTCTGCATATTTGTTGGGTGATAGGTTGTTTGCTGGTTCGTTGCCAGCCAGAGTTCCTTGTTGCTTATTCTTATTATTCTGACCATCTGATCTTCAGTAACGAGCCAGCGTAGACAGTTGTTGATGAATGTCTGTAGTTTGTTGGAAATGCTTTTTCTGACACGCTAAGTTTATGAACCATACAGAAGCACTGACTTGACATTGGTGTTTAAAATCCGGATCTTGTTCACACTGTATGCTGAGTGCAGTTCAGTGGATCTCCACACTGGTTTCAGGCTAATGAACGCCTGTCTTGCTTTTCCGATTCTGACTTTGACATCCTCATCTGTGCCGTCTGCAGTTGAGACAGTGCTGCTCAGATAGGTGAAAGAGGTTACTTCCTTTAAGCTTCTCCCATTGATGGTGGTTGGAGCTTGTTGTTGTTGGTTGGGTGTCTCCATCACCTCTGTCTTCTCTACGTTCACTTGAATAGTGTTCCGTGTTCGCTGCCTCTTCTGTCAACCTGTCAGTTTTCGCCTGTAGATCTTCCAGTTTGTGTGACATGAGACACAGGTCATAGGCGAAATCCAAATCTTCTAGGTCTTTCCGCGGTCTAGCGTACCCTCCTTTTCTCGCTCCTCACTGTTTGTTGTATGATCCGGTCCACCAAAATCAGGAATATCATGGGTGATAGTAGACAGTCTCGTCGTACTTCTGTCTTCACTTCAAAGGCATCATTGAGCTCCCCATTGTGAATTACTTGGCATGTGGAGTCTTCATATAGTTGTTGGATGAAATTTATAAAGGTTTCTGGCACTAAAACCGTAGTGTTGAAGCAACTGCCAAATTACTTGTCGGTTGACGCTGTCAAAGGCCTTTGCAAAGTCGATGAAGTTTAGGCAAGATTATGAATTGACTGCCATTCTATGCTCTGTTCTATGAAGATGCGTAGCGTTGCAATTTGTTCCGCACATGATTTGTACTTCCTGAATCCACCCGCCCTGTTCCGGTCGTAGTTTTGAATCCAGAGCATCCTTTAGTCTCTCCAGGATGATATATATAGTATATTTTTCACCATCGCTAGAGTAAAACACCTCATATTATTGCTTCAAAACCAATTGGATAAAAAAATAACTATGATATCACATTCGTTTTCTTATTCATTTTTGTAATTAGTGAAGGAAATATTTTGTGACAAATCAGATGACTGGGGTCACAGTAGACAAACATGAAAGTTAAATCACATGAGGTAACGACATACCTTGAGTATTTGAATTCATGGAAGTGATTCATGTAAAACTACCGGTTAGTTTTACCAATACAAAGGCCAAGTTGATGTATTTTCCACGAAAACTGCCCTCTGACCCTAAAACCCACCACTATTATATAAGGTACATTTTAACTGAACTAATATAAAAGAATAATTTAGTTAGGAGTTTTATATTTCAAAAAGCAAGTATCTAACTCCTTATTTTGAGATCCTTGCCGGTCAAAAGAAAAACTTCCTCTAAACTTATAAAGTCATAAGTGCCGTTCGTGAACGAGCTTAATATATTGTTTTCCAGAAAAAGCGGTGTTATACGGATTTATGTAAAAGTTTTGGCAAGAAATCCTTTGAACATATTTTTGTTCCAAAAATGAACACCAGGTCTGTTCAGTGTATCGTTGCTATCACCTGAGACCTAAATTTGTAGTGGATGCCCATACTTATCAGCGTTTAATGAAGTGAGCTAACTCATAAGACAATTTTTTGCTGGGAAATGATATTGGATATAAAAATATTGCTAACCACGTCGAATAAAAAGTCTGGTAAATGTAAGAATATTCAGTTATCCGTATGCTAGTATATTGCTCTTCAAATACTGACTAGGAACCTGGTCGTTCAATCTTTCTTGACTAGTCTCCGTCAATAAGAGAGAATTAGTGATTTAGATGCAGTTCTGGTAACGGCCTTTCATTTCACTGGATGAATAGCGGTGATAAGGCATCATGTAGAGTTAAAGTTGTATGAACTTTCTCGAAGTACTTGACCGCGAGAGTAAGACTGTGGAAATATTAACTAAATGTTAACGCTAGTGTATATTTCACAACGTGGCCCAACACTTTTAAGTGCGCTATAGTTTGTTAACAGAAATAAATGAGTGTAGAAAGTGGAGTCCTTCATTTGTACTTTCTCTGAAGAATCAATTAGTAGTAAAAAGATACTTCTCATTGTTTCAGAAGTGCGGACTCTATTCAGTAGATTACATATTCAGTGTCCTTTAGACATCCTGGTATCCAAGTAGTCAGATAGTAATAACTGTAACTCATGAACTGACTAGAAAATAAACCTTTACTTGATCGCTTTACTACAATCAGTACAGTATCAGAAGAGATACTGAGAAGCTACTGGCCACAGCTTCAAACTCTGAGGATTTCTGTTTAACTTAAATAATCTTTTGGGTTCTACCATAATGTAAGGTTTAGTAGCCGATTAGCTATGTCAGTCTGTTTCCATTGTAATGAGTTCGGTTTCTTTTAAGATATGAAACATAGTTAATGTCATGAAAGCTTGCTACTCATAAATTTCTAGTCAAAAATTACAGTTAAACAAGCGATTAATGTTTAATAATGTATCATTCCAAAGATATACATCATATTCATCGTTTAATAATTATTGCATATCTTTTTTAACTCTTTAGCTACCTGCTACACGTTTTTTCGGTGCATGTAATCTGGATTACTACAGCATGTGAGTTTTAGAAACATATGATAAAAGATGTTTTTTCTACCTTTTAATATTTGTCTTGATTATACTGCTTTTCCTATTACCTTCTGATGAAAGTGGACTTCACGAACTATTTATGGTATAAAAATGTTATTTTTCAGTATCAGTCACTTATTCCCTTGTTAAAAAGAAACAGCTAATCATTTTTAAATAAATGTCTACAAAACCGAGTTTCATGCAATTTTATCTGAATGTTTATGTTTGATAGTGTTAACAAGATTAAATCTAACATTGCATAAAATGCCATTGATGAGCATTTGTGCAACCATCATTATCGATAACTTGGTTCTGTTTCTCTGTGTGTAGAGAAGTCCTGCTAAGATTTTGTTTCACCGTATTCATGAATAAAACAAAAAGCATTTTATCTCCTTCTAAAAGCTTATACTACACTTTGGATTCTTTGCTCCTTGGATAACGATATTTCCAGAGTAAAAATTAGAGCCAAAAAGGGTGAAATACACACTTGCTCAGTGGGCAATGATGGCGAATATAGAACCTGATTGCGCCCACCTTGGTAGCCGGAACGGTGTTTGAACTCTTGGCCCACTTGTTGAAAGTCTACTGCCTAAACCAACGAACCATAGCTCCATAGAGTTAGATGTAGTATTGTGACGCATCATTTCCACAGGTCTAATAAGTGCTACAATTTTATCGGTGTGGAACTAGTCCCTACGTCTTACTTGACTCACGGTTTTTTGAAATGTTCCAGTTACCTTTGACACCAAAATTTAGTTGGCGTCTAGGAAGGTCTACTGACGCACGACCTTGAAACTTGACTCTAGTGTGCAATATCTTGTGAAATCTAACTAAAGACTGAAGAAAGTATATCTCATTCTCAAAAAAATAGAATAGATAATTTTATTAGGCCTTATAGATTTCACGTGTTCAGACAGAACTTCTTATCTCATTCACAGCCAAATAATCCATCTCTTTCTTGCAATTGTGTAACCAAATGAACATTCTCTGTAATCTCACTAGGTTACGGTCAGTCGTAAGCACAATTAAGTTGATTTAAGTATCAGTCGTGATGATGAAATTTGTCAGCAGCTCGCTAATTTATTGTTTAAAATATGGGGTCATTTGAATGTTTTAATTATTTCTTAGCTTTGAAATATGCCTACAATTAGATATATTGTACCAATCCACTGTGCAACCTACCTTTTATAAACTGACTAAAATGCTAAGATTTCTGGTCAGACTATTCATATTCTGTGTGCAGAAGGCAGTTACAGTCTCCAGTCAACTTAATCACTGTACATAAGAAGAACCTGGCTGAATTTCAACTGTAGATGGATGTCATACCTCCGCTATATACGACTGCCATGTAGATTTATTGAGTCTTGAAATAAACTTCTCTAAAGCTGTATTCATCTTGGTACTGGAAGCGGAACCCAGGATACGCGTTTTATCCTATTTGGAACTCATCACTTGAATGTACCTGCACCTCACTATGACTCGGACCCAGTACCCATTGCTCCAAACTCCATAGCGTAGTCCGCTATGCCATTGAAGCATAGGAGACTCTTCTTGTGTAATAGAGGTCACTTGTTGTTAATTACCTGTAATTCCCCTTTTGCTATACTGGATGGAACTCCTTGACCTCTGCTGACAGACAAGGTCTTACGCGCATTCCTTGACACTACCGAATACTCATGATGTTGTATACATGTTAGCGACTAGCAGTGTAATCCAGAGCAGGCATTTCGCCCTATTTAGGGCTCATCATCTGGATGAATCTGTACCTGAGCGATTGATGAATGTCCATGAGGACGACATCACTCAATGAGTTGCAGATGGATACAGCCGAAGAGTCCCAGAAAAGATAAGACATCTGTTCAGGACTCCACTGCTAGTCATTAACATAAATACACTATCACGAATATTAAGTAGTGCTGAGGCGTCCGCTTAGAAGCGGATCTGCCACTAGAAGTCGAGAAATTTGTAGTGTATAGCAATGGGGACTTACAAGTATCAAACAATAAACTATTTTAATTTGACATTTCCAATAGACGGCGTCATTTTGAACATGAATATTTTTCGAGCTGTCATAGATTCGTACTACTGCACTAATAAGATATGAAGGATTTTAAATGGGAAACAACACTCACAACTATATCCTTTGCAATTCTACACTTCAACTATAGTTAAGGATAATTTATAACGTTGAAATAAAAGCAAGCTGTAGTAAGGCTTGTTACATATTTAACAATTTCTTTATGTAATCGACTTAATAAAATGAACAGTCTTCAGTATAATAACAATTATATCACCCTTGAACTCCAGAAGTAAACATACTTGTGAAAACATAGCCAGCATCATACAGTTTAGCATTCCATATGGTATATTCTCAAATAACTTCAGTGTTTCCCTGAATTTATGAGTAACCAACGGCATATAAAAATATAAAACCCACCCTCTGAATGAAAAACGAGCAGCCAACAATTAAGCGATTTCTCTATGATACTATGTCACACTGCTGCATGGTCACAATGCAAAATGATCATTAGAATTCAATCAGCACTTAGGACGGGATGACATGAAGTTGGTTACTGTCGAGCGACCAATCGATGTATCTAATCCAGTCCTACAGGAGGTCAGTCGCGACTTAAGTAGCTCAGTGGTAACGTCAATAACTAACACACTGGGTGACGCGGGTCCGAATTTCAGGCGAAACATTAGTTCCATGGAAGCTGTAGATACGCCTTGCTGACGAGTGCTAAGGAGCGCGAAATCTAGGCTCAAGGCTTTCCATCAGTTGCCTTCATCCAACTAACACCTATTCTGTGTACGGTGCAGTAAAACTTATCAGATCATAGACCTCTAACAACTTAGCATCTACTGATAAGAATCTATCTCCCATTAATGCTTTACTAAATTTCATTCATTATTCCTGTATCAATATATAATTCCATTGAAAAGGATGGTGCAATAAGGCTTAATTACCTTTTCTAGAACATCAGCCAAGTGCTATTACAAGGTTAGGACCTATGTGCTGTGAAAGATCTAGAGTTAATTTTCAATAGACTGTCATATCGATTATATCGATTATATAACTTAACTGACTTAATTTAAATGTCTCAAGTCAGTAACATAATTGTTTTTCCCGTCCATACGAATTTTTCTGCGTCTTCCTTCCGAAAAAAACTAGGACTATATTCTCTCTGTGAATTGCTGACTGTATATCGAAATGTAATCTTCTGTTAAAATGTGCATTTCGTAGACAGCTTAAAAAAGCACAAGAAAAAGTGAGACACTTTTGGTTACTGCTACGGGGTCATAAAAAATATTCCAAATCATTCCGTAGACTTTAATATCGATTGTTACATAATATTGTTAGGTCACAAGGAGTATAACTTAAGAGTTTTACGTATAGTCTGAAGATTAGTTCTACACCTTGACAACAGACAAGAGAAATCCACGCAAGTCAACCTAATCGATAAAACTGCCGCGTTATTTATTCGTTATAGATCCATTGTTTCTACCCTCACAAATAGAAAATTTTTAAAAGTACTCACCAATCAGGGCCCCTCTTGGTTTCCTGGATATTGGTCGAAAATAAAATAACACGTAAAACTTAAATGGTAATATATAAATTAAAAAGTCCCTAGAAAAATGACGAATACAAAAAGATTTTTATTACGAGGCTTAAGATAACTCTAATGGCGCATCACTTTTTTGCTGTAGAAATTCTTTATACTGTAAAAATGACTGTAGCTAACTATGGAGGCAAAACTCACTTGTTAAACTCCGAGCTGCACAAATCAACAGGTATTTACAAAATTATCTGATAAAAAGAAATCAGGAAAGAAGATTCCTATCATATGTACTAACAAAAGGGTTACAAGTAATTAGTTCAGGTGACTGACTTTTATTTATGACCAAGCATTATTCTTCAACATATCAAGAAAGCAGCGTAAGTCACAACCCATAATCGATCTTTATTCAGATTCAGATGTAAAATTTTATCTGATCAAATTTCCAAATCAAAGATCTCCTGCTTAAAATAGTTTTCATTCCATTTACTTGCGAAGTATTCACGTGAAAGTTATTGCAACTATTTAAGTGACAAAGCTGTGCTACACAGAGACGTCTACATGCACCATATAGTTTGTCCTAGCAGAGTATTAATTAATTCACTTCAAACGGTTGTATATTACCCACCTTTTACGTGACATAAGATATAAACAATATCTGCCTCATGAACAGTCCCTCGTCATAACAGGTACTCTGTAATATAAACAATTTACCTTTCATCATGCTGTAACATACAGTGATTCTATAAGACAGCGTACATCATACTTTTCAGGATAAGGTTCAGCCTGACTCAATAAATCCTTCTATCCTGATTACTGTTCTTTAAATAATCACCAAATTCACCTCCATGAATATAAACCAATGAAATTTAATATTACGGAGGTACTAAATATATATCGTCATTATTAACGTGTTGTTTTTACGACCTAACCTTTTACTCCATTAATGTGTAGTCTACTCGTGAAAACTTACCACATATAGTAAATAGATCTGTTGTCAAACTCATCGTGTTCCGTTTAAAAAAGATAAATTGTTTTAAACCAACAAGAAACGAACAGATTGTTATTCACTCTTCAAAGAGCAGAATTCTAAGATGTAATTAATTTTAAATTCCAATATGTAACAAAAAATTCAACTAATTTTATTTTAATGAATAATTTTCAATTTACGAGGCAAATACAAATACAAGTATGTGTAATGAATGAAATTGCATTCACTCGTAATACATCTCTTTCCTTCTATATTAGTTAAAACTAACACTAACCAATAATTTTCATGTAGATAGCATGATGTAACAAAGTTGAAATGATTTAATTTCAATTAGACAATAAAAAGGAAATTAAACTATGAAAATTTTACCTTGTTTTTATAAACTGATCATTGAACAACTGAAGAAAATGGTCAATACTCTGTTACCATAGTGATGAGAA